TCTTTGTCATTTTATATTTTTGTTTTGTGATACCACGGTGTTGAAGAAGGATGGAATGGGACGAGACAGGAAACCAAAGCCACGCATGCTGCAAAGTCACAGAATTGTTATTTGCAGCTTTTATTTCCCCTTTGTTTTCTACCTGTTTGAATATTGCATCTTTCGGGCGGTTATGCGAGGATCATTATATCGGGATGGCAGATACCCCATTGTGAGCCAGACAAGTTCTTTGGCGGGATACAAATGATAGATAGGAAGTCTGCATGTCAGCGAACAATATGAAATAATACAAAGTTTAAACAAAACATTTGGCAATGGACAATGTGATGTGAATGATGAATTGTGTCTGGGCTACTCGAATTAATGTTTGCCAGAGACCCAACACAGCAGCCTTCCCCTGCCGACATTGTTGACATTACCCGACATCCTTCTACTTCTTCCCAGAAGCTAAACATATTAGTTAAATGCTCAACAAACACTGGACAGCACATACTCTCAGTCTCAGCAGGCTCAGAAGGCCAGCTCTCCTCAGTGACTGGCACCCCTTTGATGGGGGAGTTCCTCTCATGCCAGGCGATTTCTTCCATGGTCATGGTGCCGCCTGGAAGACCTGGGCCAAGGGGCTCCAGGAGTGGTTTCATAATGCGATCAAAATATCGGGCCATTCTCTGGCGGCGGCACTGTGGGCAATCGGACATCTTGGCGGCGACGGTGGTGGTGGTGGTGGTTGAGGAGAAGATTTTGTGCAGGCCTAACGCGAGATACTTTTAGAGATGGATGTGTGAAGAGGGGAAGTTTCGGAGAGGAGGAGAAGAGCACTGAGATTAATTGTGTTGATTGGGCTTGCTGTTGCCTGTCACTGGTTTGTATATTCTGCCAACTGGCTGACACTGATTCACTGAGCTAAGGGTCGCATGCATTACAGCTTGGCGTGCAAGAGCTTTGTTGCATTTTACTACCATGGAACTGCCTTGTCATGATAGAGGAGTGTCCTTCTGATATATGGATATGTGACATTCTGCCAAATCGTCTCTTCTTAAACTTCGATTGGCTCATTCCCGCTTGCCTCCAGTCTACCTCCAGTCTGCCTCCTTTGCCTCGGAGATTGGAGCCGCTTCTTTGACAACCTACTATCTGCAATGGCAACAATATACCTGTCCATCTTCTCTGCCTTGCACATTTCATGGTATTCTAATCGCCAACGCCTCATCCTCCCTACTCCGATCATGAAGGCTGTCCATCTCAAGTATCCTCTTTCCTCTTCACAAGGGAGGGACAACGTGGTTTCAGGACCGTAAGATCGTGCTATCTTTCCTGTCCTAGAGAAACCCTTGACATGCGCCCGGTCCTTCACTTGAGCAGTCTTGACGTGAAGTTCGTCTGCGTATAGCCTCGGTTGCACCTTAAGTGCTCGAGAACTTAGTTGACAACTCAGCTAGAATATAAGTTGAAGGAGTTGCTCATTTGGTAAAACAAAATGGCGATACTTTGGAAATCCAGGCCTTTCTTGGACAATATCATGCCCTTCTATCTGATCGTAATAGCCTGATGAGCTGCACTCACACTTGTCGATTATTCAATATGTCCCAAGTGACAGTCTCTGGGACATGTTGTTTGAGACGATTTGTTTCGCTACTCAGTACCTATCTGACAGTTCTGGTTAAAAGTACCCCTTGAATACGAATATTACACCGTACCTACCAAGGTTCCTCCGTAAAATGTCTCTTTGGTGATATATATTGCACAGGATGGATAACATAATGGGTTTGGCCTTGGCACATCAGCCAGAACACAACGATCTTTAATCCAGCCGTATACCATAGCGTTGCAGGAGCACTCAAATGGTCCGATTATTGCGTTCATAGCTGCCATTGTTTAAGTGGGATCTTATGACTCATAATTGAGGACGTTGTTATGCGTGATCTGACAAGGAAGCCTGGCAGTGCCTCGGACCTACTTGGTGCAAGTTGACTGGCTCGCTTCTTTTGATATCTACCTATATATACCAAAATATGCAGTCATATTCCAACAGCTCAAGGAAAGCAGCTTGGCGCAGTGGAAGCGCGGTATGTCTTTACTCCACCTACGAAACAATACCAGAGTACTAACTCATTACAGCCGGGCTCATAACCCGGAGGTCACTGGATCGAAACCAGTAGCTGCTATGAAGCTATCTTTTTTTGCAGTTTACTCTGTTGATGCCTACCTGGATCGATAAGCTTTAAGCCCAAGATGCCTCCAGGTGGCTATCACTGCATGCACATTTGGCTTTTTGCATCTATCCCTGACTTGCTTAAATACGGAGGAAAAAAATTGCTTATAAACATCCAGTTATCAGATATGATATGTCTTTCTTCCTAATCATAAATGCTTGCTCATGCCACTCAAATTCGACTTGTGTGCGTCCGGTCCTTCGGGGGGCACGAGTGGGTCCACGGCATCGGCCCCGAAGCGAGGATCCACCCGGTGCTCCGGATTTGCATCAGCGAGACCGAGGGCTTTACTATCTTCGCGACTCATAAAATGAGGTGCCGTGTCACCGAGGCGTCATGCAGAGCATTACTGATCCTTTCACTGTCGGCTCTCTTGTAAAAGCAGCTGTCTTTGTCAAATGAAGACAATAAGATATTTCATATCCCACAGTCAACCAAGTCCATGCCAAGGAGAACTCATATGTTCTTAAGCCATATTGAAAGCAGATAAAGTCCCCAGCATCATGTATTCCCCAAGTTATGACGAGAATACCTCCAATCCGATCGTGAGTCCACCGGATACTGCCCGATCTGTGGTTCCGGACACCACTCCCGAACACAACTCGTTCTAGCTTAGAGCGGCTTCCTGTTACACCAGAAACTGTCGCCTTTGTCAATTAGAGTCCAAGTATATGTTTCGCACGTCATCCCTCTGATTGTCATAGACATGGAATTGGATTGATCCTGAGCTTCATAGACGGTGGGGGCTGATTGATTGGCAATCCCAAATTTTATTGACCAGGCGTAATGTATTTCGAAAGGAAAGGCGAGTTTGATACTGTTGCAAATGTAAACAGAGAGCGGAGGAGTTGCCCCTGAAGGTAAGAATAGGCCTGGCATCCTTTTGAATATGGTGAGAGGGAGCCATGAAAGCAACGGCGGGCCTGCTTCTGGCGTTGTAGCTGGAACGGGGAAGATAAAAGGATCTTGCGGCCCCGGAGGCCGCGACGCCTCTTCACCGGAGGCGTAGAAGGAGGAGGACATGATTGGGAGGGAGGAGGCGAGTCGGCGGCGGCGGCCGAGATTGCTCTGTGACCGGCTCCTCTTTGAAAGGGCACCCTTTCTCGTGATGGTTAAAAAAGCGTTTATAAGCTAATAAATACCCAATGTCAATTCCTTGCTTGTCATGGGGGCTCAAAAAGACCACTTACATATCCTGAAATGGTGCGAGGAAGACTTGAGACGTATAAGTCTATTAAGTATCGCAGAGCTAAAGCATTTAGTACAATGTTTCCCATAGAGATGGAACATGATCTTACCAGAAGGAGTTTCCAGATTCACTTCATGCTTTAACCCATGTCTTTCTCAAAAGCTCCCGGAAGAGCAATGAAAGCAAAGGCGGGCCTGGCCCAAAGAAAAAGAAAAACCCCGCCTAAGACGTGGAGGACAAAAGGATCTTGCGACCCTGGAGGTCGCGGCACCTCTTCGCCGGAGTCGTAGAGGAAGGAGGAGGAGGGGAGTCGGCGGCGGCGGTGGAGGGTGTTGATGGCCAAGATTGCTCTGTGACCGGCTCCCCCTGGATGGGGGGCCCTCCTCGTGGCGGTCGATCTCCTCAACGGTCATCATCCCCCCTGGGAGGTGTTTGAGGCAGAGTGGACGGGACGGCATCTAGAAGGAACCTTTGATGGTAGCCTGAATCTCTCCAGGGGGGCGGTCAGGTGCTTCAGGCACGGCGTGCGAGATGGCATCTTGGAATTATCGATGATGATGGAAAGGAAAAGAAAGAGAGCTGTACGAAATGACGGCAGGCATGATTACGCCAGGAACCAAGCTTCATGGGGACGGGAAGGAGCAGGCGGAACATGGTGGAAGCCCTCACACATAGAAGGCACGATGCTTGGTACCGAACCCGCAACTCAGAGAAGGAAAGAGCCACAACTGCAGTGGTAAAATCAGTTGGTTCTCACTCTTTGGTACCTTGGAGTTTAGTGGTCAGGCTCGGATTTCTTTTTTGTGAGCCCACACATTGATTGGCTGTCCACTTCATCACTGTCACTGATGGTCAACGGGCGCATTGACCAAAATCGTGTCGTTTCGGGCTCCCTCTGCCGCACTGATGAGACAGAAGATTCCTTGTAGAGTACAATCTCCTCGATCAGCCGCCCAGCTTTATGCTTCTGATTTGAAAGTGGGTTCCTTTTGACTTGGTGTCTTGACGTTGATCACGTCGTCAAAGTTATACTGTCAAGTCAAGTGGTTGGATTGTTTAAGTCTAGCAGCCAACAGAGCACAGGTCGAGACCAATTGATATGGTTCAAGCTTTAACCTACCTTATGGAGCCTCTCATAGTAACTATGCTCGATTTCGTAAGAGATCCATGTAATCACTTGCATTGGGAGGAACCTACATTCAGTATATGCAGACTCTAGCATTAAACATACCATCATCACCAGATCGCGGCTCTTCCCTATTGCGTCTTGGAGTCAAGTACTTGGCGAAACTTAAACATTCCTTCTGTGTGCATCATTCGTATTCCTCCGTCTTCCGTACGAGGTTATCCATACAACAGGTACCATCGCAGCAAACCCGTCAACAGTTGCTTCAGTAATTCGTGGAAGGTGACGGGAGGCAGGCGGGAGCGGCAAACAGTGGGGCTACGATATCAAACCCCACCACCTCATCCAGCACCACTCCCACTTCAAAACTCCACAACTCCATGAAACCAGTCCCAAAAATTACAAAAAATATCGCATTCGACTCGCCTTGATCTAAAGATCAATAGGAAATTGCCAAAAGAATAAAAGGGAACGCCCGAGGCGAGACTCGAACTCGCAACTTTCAGATTTCACTCTTGTGTAAAAGTCTGACACGCTAACCAATTGCGTCACCCGGGCGGGCGTTCGTGTTGGAAGGAGCGACCACAACTTAGAATACAAGTTCCTTCACTTTGCGATTTCTTTAGCTTTCTTACCTAATTTTTTCTCTTATATATCATATCAATACTTAATAATCTATAAATCGGGTTTAAAGTAAGAAAAACAAAGAAACCTGTGAATATTATACAGTATTAGCTTCTGGTTGTATCTATATGCAAGCTACGCCGCAGACTACAGAGCAAAGCGCAATACGTTGGTAGATGTGATTGGACTCGGATACTCAATCCCTGTATACCGACTGACTGCCATAGTATATGATACGTGACATCTACTTGCTCAGCCTCCTTTCGGTTCGAACGGCACCTTGAATCCTTCAGAGGTGGTCAGATAAGGAAGAGAATAAGATCTATAAATCGTGCATGCCACGAATTTCAAAGATATACCACGCACATTTACACCCATCAGCATCTCGACCCATCAACACCAATGTATCAAGTACAATCACCATGTCGTGTCGAAGACGGCAAATTCATCGCACAAAGCAAGGTTGCTGCATTTTGGGATGAAGCATGGTGGAGATTGTCATGGACAGGTCGAACTAAAGACTACGTTCTCCGGGGTATCACGGACCGGAGTCCAAAGAACCTTCTTACCGATAGAGAAGTGAGGAGGCACCAGAAAGCAGTTCACAACGAAACGGGCGATATTGTTGGCTACGCACGCTGGATCATGCCAGAGTCACACAAGGATTCTTGGCTTATCGCTCAGACCCCTGATGTGAGCGACGAGGAGACAGAGGTGTTCACGAAGCGTCATTCAGAGGCCGAATTTGATCCGCGCTCGGAGCACGATGAACTGGATGACCATATGGACGGTTGGAGAGAGAAGTATAAACATACTAATTGCATGGGTACGCATTATGAAAAGGAACGATTTCATAAACTGACGGTCGAGCAGAACTACACTACATCGGCGTTCGACCGGATCACCAACATCAAGGACTTGCAAGTATGCTTGTCAAATCTGGCCTCGAAGCGGCAGACCAGCTGGGTATTGATGTTCTAGTGGTGGCTACAGGCCGGCGTGGTCAGAAGCTTTATTCAAAGCATGGATTTGAGATTTTGGAGGAGAAGAGTCAAAGCATGAGCAAATTTGGTGTTGATGAGCTTTATGAAACCTTTGTCATGATCCGTCGAGCTAAGGAATGATGGAATAGTTCACGGATCAACGACATCTTTCGAGAGTACTTGTTGGATATACATGGACATATTTGAGGATCCAGAGTACAATGATTCCCATTGTATATTCCAGCAAACCTCCTGACGAAACTCATTATCAAAGTACCTTGGTACGCTCCTATAGCTTAGACTTGATTTTATCTCCAACCTTCTTTACCTCGCTGCTAAATCGATAAACGATATTATCAAAACTGCTTTCAGGAAAGATATAGAGCCACTTCAGCTCATCATCGCCACAAAACACCCCATGTTCTGCGTCCCCGGGGATCCAAATTAGGTTGCCCTTAGAGACGGGGTATCTTTCTCCTTCGATCTCTACTTCTCCCGAACCATCAAGGATGTAGTAAACTTCTGCTTGCGTGTGGCGATGAAGTGCTAGGGCGCCGTTGGTAGGGCATGTCGCGATACCGCTGGTCAGAGAAGTGCTAGCAGTTCCTGGTGAGGATAAGAGCGTGTGCCAGGTCGCGTTGCCTCGTTCTTTCTCAGCGAACGAGGAGGGTGTGTTATGCGATTGTGCAGCAGTATCAATAATTATAGGTTTCTTTGAGGTTGAAGGCATGGCGGGTGCGATACTGAGATTGTACAGGATAAATCAGGTTGAGGAGTTATATGACTGTCAATCTGGAGAAACACGATGGTACACAGGGAGCAAAGACTCTTATAGTTTAGATCTAAAACCGAGTCAGCTTGCAAACTTGAGGAGGTCTTGTCCATGGACAGGTGAGATCATGATATTCAATTACCACTGCAACGAAAAAAGAAAGTTTATACAGCCCTAGTGTCTAAACAGGTAAAACATGACGAACCGTTGAGTCAACTCCTCGATATACCCCATTATATTGAATCGCACGCCACATGGCTGAGGGGTTCCCACCAATAAGCATCAACTGAGTTGTGGTCTCGTCGACATCTAATGCAAGAATTGCTATCTATCGCCATTTGTGACATTAGTCTTTGTGATGATTGTTATTTATAGTCCTATCAAAATAATAGCTATAAAAGTCTTATCTATTGGTGAATGAACCATGAAACGGACTAGTACGTGTAATCGACTAACTACGCGAGAGCTTGCAAAGACAGATCACAACGAGAAACACTCACCCTGTCTTCACTTTTTGCACATATAGGATGCTCTTCTTGCTGGGTACACTCTTGTACTCTTACGCATAATAACATAATTCTATATCAGAAGACCCATGCGTGCCGAAACTTCACCCACCCTATAGCATTTTCTTTCGTGGCTTCACTGTGCGGCTTTCAGAAGCAGAGAATGTCTAGAGCTGCGACAACAGAACTCTCAGAGATAGAGATTCATGAGAGCGCAAATATCATAGAAAAAAAATAACAAAAAATAGATGCCCCTACTTCAACAATCACGTCGGTCTTATGCATCCGGCAATTGGGGAAAAGGATTTATCCAGTAAGACTAGGCACATTTCATGAGCTTCCAGTTCTGAAGTGCATTATTGAATAAATATTTGAATAAGAAATTGTTAGAAGAAGAAGAGATGCCTGATCACAGTCATGAAACATGTCAAAGCAGGCGACATTGAGCCTCATCAAAGAATTGAGGTTGAAGTTTGTGGGGAAGCTTGTAGGATGGGTCCCGGACCGGGGACGTGCCTGCCACCTTCACATGGTAGCGATAGCGGGCAAGATCCGAGACGAACACCACCATCATGAATAAATAGATCGATCCAACAACTGCCGACAGCAATCACAGATTTACTGGTCTTTCTCTAACCAATTCACAGTAAAATAACTCAATTGGTTGCTGCACAACATAAGGTCCATACCTCTGCAATGCCCCAGATAACATCCAGAGGCGAAAAACGGAGATAAATGGCCGCATGCAAATTGAACCAGTTTAGGCTAAGGCAGAAAGGGTCAGATACCTGACGGAGGGTTAGCTGCTCCAGCTGTACGGAGTAGGACAAAGTTCCCCGCCCGCCACTTTCCCGACGTCAGAGGGTCCTCTCATTACGGAGCTCAGCTTAATCCCTGGGGAAACAGAGGATTCGATGTCAGCGGCTGCCCGTAAGATGAGTCAAGATTTTTTCTGACGTTAGCAATTGATGGTCAGATAAACGGTAGAATAAACGCCATTCATGGCTGTCAAAATCTAAAACTGAGTCGGTTTTTCAGTTCCTTTGGTCCAGCTAACGCCAGCTAGAGGGGAGTAGAGGCCCAGCTAGGCCGTTCTCGCAACACATCTGGCCAATCCGAGGGCTGCTACTAGTGGCGATATCGGCCATTCATCAATCCTCTAATTGGCTCGTGAAGACCGATGCTCCCCCTCCCCGGCCGTTCTGGCCTTCATCGCCCCTGCCTTGACCTGACTCTACTGCAATCCCACCTCGATTTGGCTGGGGGAGTCACCTTTTATTGCGGTACCTTACCCCACAACTTGACCGGTCCCACCCCGGCCACCGGCCCTCCGATAATTGCTGAGGTGCTTTGGCTGTGATATTTTTTCCCCCGGGCTCGCCCTCGATTTCCTTGGTCTCTTTCTTAGCGGACAAACGAAACTCAAATCCCTTTTTTTCTCTTTTCGCCTCCGCGCGCCTTCACGAACAAAATTCAAGCATCTCCCCTCTGGGATTTCGATTGATCCTTTTGAGTTTCTACTGACCTTCAATTTTTAATTCTCTTGCGCGTCTTGAGCCTCCTGGCTCCTTCTCTACTGGTCTTGCCTCAACGAGCTCTTAACCTCCACAATGCTCCGAACTCGCCAGGCCGCAAAGGCCATCCGGGCCGTCGCTCACACTCGATCATTTACCACCACATCCGCCATTGCTTCTATCCAGACTTCAAAGAAGGTTGCCAGCACTAGAAATCAGTCTACGGCTGCTGCTGCGTAAGTAGATATCTCAATTGTGGCGTCGAGAGTTGCCCCGCGCTTGTGGCATGGGTAGCGATTCGCGCGCACATTTCCAACAAAACCAGATGGCTAACATGTTACAGCCCAGCACGCGATATCCCTAGCCCTGGATTCAACGTCGAGAAGAATCAGAGCAATGTCCAGCCTCTCGTCAACCCCAGAAAAAATGATATGGATGAGTCGTACGTAAACCTCCAGCCCGCATGTTCAGACATCCTCTAACCACGAACTTGCAGATTCATCGGAAAGACTGGTGGTGAAATCTTCCACGAGATGATGCTCCGACATGGCGTAAAACATATCTGTATGTCTCCCACTTCACGTCCTTCCAAATAAGGCTAACTGAATCTTAGTTGGATACCCTGGCGGTGCCATTCTCCCCGTTTTCGATGCCATCTACAACTCAAAACACTTCGACTTCATTCTCCCCCGCCACGAGCAAGGTGCTGGCCACATGGCTGAGGGTTATGCCCGTGCTTCTGGCAAGCCCGGTGTCGTTCTTGTCACATCTGGTCCTGGTGCTACAAATGTCATTACACCTATGCAGGATGCTCTGTCAGACGGAACTCCCATGGTCGTCTTCACCGGTCAGGTCGTCACAACTGCCATTGGTAGTGACGCTTTCCAGGAGGCCGATGTCGTTGGTATCTCCCGTGCTTGCACCAAGTGGAACGTCATGGTCAAGAACGTCGCCGAACTCCCCCGTCGTATCAACGAAGCTTTCGAGATCGCCACCAGCGGTCGCCCCGGTCCCGTTCTCGTCGATCTTCCCAAGGATGTCACTGCTGGTGTCCTAAGAAGGGCTATTCCCACCGATGTTGCTCTGCCTTCTCTGCCCAGCGCCGCTTCCCGTGCTGCCATGGATGTCACCAAGAAGCAGCTCGAGGGTGCTCTCCAGC